ACCCAATCTCATAGCTTCGCTATCACCCTCGACCTTCCCACACTTGCTCACAAGCTTCGTTTTCGTTTGTTTTTGTCTTCTGTATGCTGACGCGAGTGAAAGAGAACTGTGATCCATTAATCTTGTGTATACTCTGGGTTCTAAATGTTGATTTGGTAGCTTTGCCTTCTATGGAGAAGACCAACTAAATCCGATGAAGAGAGGGAAACAAATCGGACTAATAACGAGGCATGGAAATGAACAACCTTCCATTTCGATATTTTTTGTCTTATGCAGATAGAATTCCATGAAACAGGATCATTGAGCTTTGATTCGTTGCACCATTCCCTCGCATTCAATTTATAGGTAGATGGTTTTGCTAACCTCACGGTAGGCGGAGAGGTTTCGGTGAAGGGTGAGAAGAGAATCGAACCACGCACGACAGAAGTAGCCAAACAGACTGTATTTTCGCTTTCAAATTTCGTTACACAGTTAGGAGTCGATGAAAGAGAGTTATTAAGTTTCTGTTGGTTGCTCAATCCTCACATTTTTATTTATTATATCAGAAGTTTGTCTTGGACGATTGCGTGGATGGATTCTATTGCAAGAGCGAAAACAAGAGAATGAAGTAACGAAGAAATCCTCCACAAACGATTTTTATTTTCGATTGTATTTTATTTTCTACTAGTTGAAATGTATCAAATAGATTTATTGAGAAGAGGGTGTCCTTGTGCTGAGGACACAGGGAATTATGGTTAATAAGATCTAAGTGCACGAACAGTAGAAGCTAAAAGGCATTGAAAATATGAACATTTCACGTCATCGTGACTCTTGGTCATCAAAGTGTAAACATTATTATTCTATTTCAGATTTCTTGCTCATAAATTATATTGAATCTTAATTACAAGCGTATTAACACATCGAATCAGTTCTACTGACAACCTACGAAACGATTACCAAGCTCAATATAGACAATAGCATTTGCATCGTTTCATTATTCCTACATTCAAGTGAGTCTTCTTCGGACTTGTTTATGGATAAAGAAAATGGAGTGAAAATTGCTGCATTCTCTCTCAAATATGGTCTTGTTGTTACCGTTGAATGGCTGTATCTTCATAAGTGAGCATGTATTCAATATAAAATTAGCGAACTCTAGACCTGTTTGTTGTTAGATAGCTTTGTTTCAGCAGCTTTCAGGGTGTGGGTGTGTTTCAGAGAGAACCTTTATTCATGCCGACACCCACGGACCACACGCACACAGCCACAGCCACATCCCTACGTCGTATGTATTCGACAGATTTAGGTTCAGAATAAAATTCTGTCAGCGACTTTTTTTCTGAAAAGGAAAAGTTATTGAGTGCATATTAACTTTTTGAAAGACATATTAGAGATACTTCATGTGTTGATGTATCGAATAATATATGTTTGAATCTTAAATTTGGTCGTTTGCAGCATGCAGAAACTATTTTTGTTTGTGCAAAAAATGATGGCATTTTTTGTGTGTAATCGGCAGAGTTAGAAAAAAACCATGGAACAGTAACATTAGGAACACACTAAAATTCAATCAAAATTTTCCTTCCCATCGCCTTTTTTTTCATGCTGCTTCAAAGTGGTTGATTAATTATTTTTTAAATAGTTTTATATTAGTCGATAGGCAATGTTTATCTTTTTCGACAAGAAAATATTACTTCTCTATGTTTCATATAACTCGAGTTATAAGCGAAATGTGAAAAAATTTTGTTCTCGGCAGAATTGGGACATCTGACTTCACCTAGCCGCTTTGCAATAGTGAAAGATCATTTTTGAGTTGTTTTCTCTGCTAAAGTTCGTTGATCTAAAATATTTCAAATAAGTAATACAAAAAGAAATTCAATTCATGCAGAATTTCTGTAGATGATGGCTGATGTTCTTGAAAACTGGTATTTGTTGAAGGAGACTATATTTTAGGAAAATTTCATTTTTCAAACATTTTTGGTGAAAAAGTCAGGAACAGATCCAAAAGGTTTTTCAAAAGTTGATCTCGATAGAAATTTTGATATATTGGATTTCAATTTAATGGATCTGTGTAGCTCACGATAATTCAGAAATATAGATTTTTTGAAGCTGTAAAATGGTACAAGAACTTTTTTGAGGTGCTTTGTTTCGGGCTTTTCGTCCTCGTCAGGTTAGCTGTGGAAAAATATGTCTCTAGCTGAGACATTGCTCCTTCCAATAAAAAAATTCTAGATTTAGCAATCGGCGATATGACATGACAAAGTTTGACATTTTTCCAAAGCATTTTGCATCACATGTTAGTAGACGTTATGATACAACGAAAAATATTGAGCCTTGCTTTTTTTTCCTACTCAGATAGTTTTATGACAATTACATTTGGGAAATCCAAGAAAATGATTTAGAAATTTAGTATAAATCAATCACCAAACTCTATGAAAGAATCAATTCAATTTGAGCAGAGCTTTAGTCTCTGTTTGAGTGTCTTTTCTAATTTAAAATAAAATGGAATAGGAGAGATAAAACGTAGAATTCCTCACTATAATTGAAGAGTTTTTGTTATGAGTGAATCAATGAAGAATTCGACCCATATCATACCGAACCCAAATCCAAGCTCTATGATGAACTTGAATTCGGACAGGAACCAACTCATCGATTCCAAAGTTTCGGATTTCTTTCACGCCTGTGACTCTGGTTGTTGCCTAGGCAGTTCTGAACGTACATGGGGACTCATGGAAACATCCTTTGCTTTGACTAAGTTCAGGCTCACGAGGGAAGTATCCTGAGTGTTCACTCGCTTTCTCCTTGACACATACATGACTGTATGCAGTTTACTGCGCTGATTTCGAACAGCAGGGTCTTATCGGCTCATATATCTTTCTAGATTCTATGCCATAACTATCAACCCTCGTCTGACAAGGGCATTTATATGATTCCTTTTGGTAATTAACTGAAAAGCACCGCACTCAAGATCAAATCCGAACACAAACGTTCGAGTTCTGTGCATACCTACTCATAACCATCTACCAAGAAGACCGGTCGACTTAATAAAAACACAAGAATATAACATGATGAATGTTCAAAATTCATCTCATGAACAATGATTTATAACTGCCTTTCTTTCTCTCTACAAATTCTCTCTGCTTCACTCGTATTCTTATGCACACATCATGTGTACTTTAAATTTAATTCAAAGTTTTAATTGTGGAACTTTTAGATTGGTTATGTAAACGAAGTTCTCGAAACAGCTCAGAACAATAATCGAAATGGCTAGATCCATGTGTTTTAATTTAATATTTTGTGTCAAACGTATTTACCGTATTATTCAGAGAGGATATAAATTAATATGGAGAAGGTATCTATCTGAAGCCAATGCAGCCATATTTTTAACTCCGAATCAACTTAAATTGATACAAATGAATACTGTGCAACTCCGATATTCCACTATTACAGTGCTTCTCTTACTCTTATTCATCTTGTTTTTTGCATATAACTGCCTATCCTCTGATGAGTCACCTCAACTTCATACATCTAATTTATACAATGACGTACTGCCATTGAAACGCATAACAAAGTCGACATTGCTACACATCAACGGAAGGATAAAACGTCTTGGAGCAGCAAGCCCAATCTATATTATCAATTTACCGTCTCGTTCTGATCGAAGGATACTTGTAATAGCTCTTGTTCGAACTCTTAATTTCGAAACTTTCATAGTACCTGCTCACTCAATTCACTCACCGGAAATCGTCTCTCGTTTTCATTTGGTACGGCCCAGGATAACAATATACGATTACAACTTTTTAACTGTATTTGAGCTCGCCTGTTGGGCAAGCCATATGCAAGTATGGTTAGAAATTGCTACTTCTGCGAGCAACAATAGCTGGTCAATTATATTCGAAGATGATATTGATCTTGAAATGGCTACATCAGAAGTTATGGAATCATTTCCTCGAGATCTCTGGAATAAGCCAGATATGATTTATCTGGGCCATTGCAGCAACCCAGCTGGGCCGATAATGTACGAAGGAATATATGGATATCGTGTCCATAAAGCTCTTAATCCACTTTGTACACATGCCTATGCAATACGCTCAAATGCTGCACGTAAACTTATCCGTCTTTTAGCCACACCACAGAGAGGAATCGACCGTGACATTGTTAATCAGATTAATGCTGATGAAATATTAGCATTTAGTATCCATCCTCCATTAGTTGTACAACGCCCTATTTCATCTCTCAATCCATCTGATGTTCAAGTACAAAACAAGAATTCACTTAGTTTTAGAATTGAGAAGTGGCTTTTTTCACTGTCGAAATGGTGGCGAGGTGTGGAAGATTTGAATACACTTCGTAATTCGACCTGGGCCACAATAGATTCTAATAAAGTTGACTACTGAACAGCGCAATACCAACCACAAAATAAGACAGAATGATAATGAAACTGGTGACAAAAAGAGAAAGACTAGACTAAATTTTTAAGGATTCATAATATATATAAGTATTTTCCTAAGTAAATGTAATTGATTATTTCATATCTTTGTCAAACTATGCATGATGAAACTACTCTGCATTCAAACTTCGAAATGACAAAATAAAAGATCTTGCTGGATTTGGTTATAACAGCTGAATTGAGAAAGTGCGTATGGAATGTGGGTGTGGATCTCACCAACATCGCACACTCCACACTCACACCCAGTTGTTTTTAGTTGAATAAAATAGATTTAAGTAAGTCACGAAGTTGAACACTGTCAATTTCATTAATAACTTGTGAACTTGAAGTAGATATGAAGAAAAGATATAAAATTACTATTGATAATATACTTCGAATTTGCTGTTTATAGTTCAAAACCACATAATTAATTCGTATTGACTATTCGACTATGAGTTATGATGTTAATCTAATTTTTTTTTCTTTTATCTTGAAAATAAATTTTCATTATTTAAAGTGCCAATAATGAGAAGAAGTTTATGTTTTTTTTTTTTACTGAACAATTTTATTCGAATCGTTTGAGAGTGATAATAATAAGAAAACGAAACTTAGTCATGTTCGAATCCGGATTCTAGAAAAAAAAGCGTGTCATATGATGACACAGCATTAGGCACTGATGATAATGACGAATAACCATTTAAAATCACTAACCTATCTTCTGAAAGACACAAATTAAATATTTTATTTTCTATCTAAATAAGATTGAGCTAAAAAAATCAACAAATACTATTATTACTAAATTTTATTCGAATTAGTCTTTATTTGATGTTGTGAAATGCATCATTTTTCTTTTACAAAACATCAAATTTCTTATCCTTTCCGAAAAAGACTATTATAATAAAATTTCAATATTTTTTTTTTAGATATATAATATATATATATTCTAATAATGCAATATTTATGAATAATCTTAAAAACGATCAATGTCTCGTTCATCAATTGCATGTTGTTTTTTTCGTTCATATCGTTTACGTTCTATATCTTTTATTAAATGTATTCTATGGCTTATAATACTTTATCTATTAAATACAATACTCGGTGTACAATATTATTTATGGTCAGAAAGATCGTTTAAGAATGAATATCATTTAAGCATGACACAAATTGATATTACAAAACTTGATGAAAATAATCCAGAAGAAATTTTAGGTTTACCAAAGTATATTATTTCAAATAGATTTATTATTAATAATGAATATTTATGTAATCATGAAAATTCAGTAACAATTATTCAACCACATTTATTGATCTTAGTCAAATCAGCAGTTGAGAATTGGAAAGCAAGACAAGCTATTCGAATGACATGGGCAAAGAATGATTTTTTAGAAAAAAATAATATTAAGTTAGCTTTTGTTTTGGGTAAGTTTTATCAAAATAAGTTTTTGAATTTTTTCTTATCAAAATAATTTATATCTATCAAATCTAAAGGTATAATTAGATCACAAAAATTTTCTTCAAGTAAGAAATATTGAGATAATTCTTTTATTTTATAATTTCTCTCATATTCATATTGATTATTGTAGATGCAAATGAACAGAATCTCAGCGTAGAAAAAGAATCAAAACAATATAAAGATATTATTCAAATTGATCAAATTGATTTTTATTATCATAACACATGTAAATTTTATTTAAATTAAAAACATAGATATAAAAATCGATGCCTTTTCACAACTATCGATCATATTAATCTAGTACTATTATGACTACATGAGACTAGAGAAGTATTAAGGATAGTCTATTTTAAATTATGATATCTCTGACTATTTCATGGTTAAATTTTGTTAGAAATACGATTGAGACAATGAAAAAGAGCAGCTTCGAAAATAGTAATAATATGTGAAAATAGATAATATATGTTTAAAAAAAATGCTTTTATCTTAAGCAGTACATCAAATAGTTCACAAATTTCAAGGTTTGATTTATATATAACACTATCTACTGATTATTTGACAGTAAGCAAATTAAAGAATAACAATAGAATATGTTGTGACTTTAGTGGAGATACTATGGTAAAATTTTCAGCCTTGCATCATGACGTTTTCGTAAGATATTCAACAAACAATGGTTAAAAATAGCTCATTTGGCACCTGAAAATTCTCTATAGGCCTTCATTCTGTATGGGATTAGGACAATTCGTCGCAATGATATAATCAAGTCATATCATTGCGACGAATTGTCCGGCGACGAATTGTCTGATCACCCAGATAAAGGATGAAAAGTTTAATGTCTCAAAAAATGGCGTTCTAATTAAAAAGGGACTCTGTGAATTTTGCATCTTGATATGCTCTTTCGTACAAACAAAACTTATTTATTAGAATGAAGTTCCTTCGAAAATTCTGGGATGTATGATTAAAATAACATAAATAGAAATAAAACGAAAAAGATTTTTCGCACTATCTGAAAAAAATCATATACGTAATTTCATGAAAAAAAATGACAAAAAGTTTTTGGAAAAAACGAGATGCCAAATAAAAAATTCTATTATTTATGAAAGATCAGACATCGGATTATCTTCCCATACATCTATCTCAATTTTCATGTTTTTCACTAAAATTGATTTTTTTTTGGAGGGGAAGGGAAACTTAAGTAAAACTCGTTATTGAGAATTAACAACAAGTTTTTAGTTGTAAGTTTTATGACAGAATCGAACAGTCTGAAGTTTTGCCTTACATTTTTAAAGTTAAACTATATAATTTTCTTTCGCTATACAGTCAACTAGAATATACTAATTGTATCTTCGATCGGATAAAACTAAAATGAAGATTGACATATTTCTTAAGATGAAAAAAAAAATAGTTCTTTTGAAAAGAGAATAATTATTTTATACATTTATAAAGAGTTACGAAATATACGACAAAAATTGTATGTATAGATAAAATGGTAATGATGCTTCGTTGGATAAATGAATATTGTACATCGAAATCTCATCATTCTCCATCTAATGATCTTCGAAAATATGTTTTATTTGTTGATGATGATTATTTTATTGATTTAAATTCTTTATTAAAATATATAAATAAAATTGATAGAAATTCTGATATGACACCATATGAAAGACGAACATTTTTAACTGGTTATGTATATGAAAGTTCTCGTCCACGTCGATTTTTAAATGGTCGTTGGTATGTATCAATAGATGATTATCCATATGATTATTATCCGCCTTATGCAACAGCTGGATGTTTTTTAATGACAAGATCTAGTGCACGACTATTTTATATAGCATCAAAATATACTCATTTAATTCGTTTTGATGATGTTTATATGGGACTTGTAGCTTATTCAATGTCAATTAAATTAATTCCAAATAATAATTTATTTTCATCATATGCTTCATCAATGATTTTACTTAATAATCAAATAGGATTTTTTTCAAAATTTAAAAGATTTTTTATTAATCAAATCAATTTAAATTCAACAGACAAACCTTTTTGTATTCATGGATATCGTGGAGAAGAATTAATTCAAATTTGGAATGACATCTATCAAACTAATCTAATACTTCCAATAATTAATTGATTGAAAAAAAAAAACTTTCGGAAAAAATATGTTTTGAGCACCACAAATTAAGAGGTGGGTGTCGGTGTGGGTGTGGGTGTGACTATGGGTGGATGTGGGGTGTGGGGCGTGGGTGTGAATGTGAGTGTGAGTGAGTGTAGGGCGTGGAGTGTGGATGTATGTGAGGAGTGGAGTGTGGATGTGTGTGGGGGGCGTGAAGTATGGGTGTGTGTGGGGCGTAGAGTGTGGGTGTCCTATTGATTCACATACCCACGCCATACCTACACCCACACCCAAATAGTGCAAATTCATTTGTTCCTATATATTTCCTTTGAAATCTTTATTCGCATCATCACATCATCAAATTACTGCGACAGATGATGACTAACATACAATTTTGTTTTTAATTAAATACATATATCAAACTAATCAGATTTTGTTATAATTTTTCGGCAATTATAAAGAATATCACTTATAGTTTCCATATCAAAAGAATTATTCGATGTTTGCTTCTATTCTCCCTCCATTTCTTCATCTGATGATATGATGTCCGTATCATCTGTAGATGATTCATAGACGTCTTCATCATCTCAATCAAATTCTTCAGTGACAGCATCCAATTCATCAGGACCGGCACTAAATGTTAATATTGATGTGTTTTCTGCGTCCACCTCCAATTCATCATTCAGTTCTTCCTCCTCATCGGTCTCCTCACCCAATTCCGCTTCGTCTTCAATAACACCTGTATTAGCATGTTCATCAGCATTCCGCGATCTAAACAATCGACAGGTATCCTTAAAAAAAATCATTCAGTATTTTCGAACATTGTAATAATAGCAGAGTTAATACATATTAAAATCAAATAAATACTGCAACATAACATAATACGAGATAAGAGACTTTTTATAACTCAAGATGAATATAACAGATGACTCATGAGGATTATCCTCTTAGTATCTTTAAGATTTCTCCTCTATTATTTCTGTGATTAAAGCCCATTTTATTAGCAAAATATAGCGCTTGAAATTCTCTACAAAACCATTGTTAGGGGGCTAACTCTAGATCTTCGAAGGGATGATAAGATGAGATGGATGTAATCGTGTATTACACTTCTGTTTATTTATGAAAGTTCACAGGCCATATATAGGCTAGTAGATCACATGTCTTTAAAAAATGTCCATCGGATGATAGAGATAAATCCAATCGGACATAATACATATGAAAAGATGACACATAGAGAAAGAAAGGAAAAGACTAAGATATGTGATAGATAGGAATAGAAAAAACCAAATATATGTAATACATGTAAGAAGAAACACATCAACGAGAACGAAAGGAAAATACCAATTGAACAAAAGAGAAAGTAACTAGAACATATAAAGAAGAAGAAAGCGAAGAGAGGTGTACTAACTACCACCTAATACATTGTTTATTTAGTCGTATTTATTATTTTTTTTAAAATCAAATAAGTAAACTTCAAAGAACTATCATATTTATAGAGATGTTCTTTTGCTTCTGTTTCATATGTAGTCCAAAATTCAGTCAATAATTGTTCAGTACCTTCTTCTGATCGACCATTATTCAATAATGATTGTTTAAGAGCTGATTCGGACCAACTACGATTAAACAATGTTATTGATTGAGTTAATTCATCTAATGTTATTTGTCCATCTTGATACTGTTTAAAAAAAGGCATTTGCACTGAATTGAATTCGGATTTAATTAATTCGAATGAATATCGATTAAAGAGTTCATAATCAATACATTCTGAATACGATCGAAGATACAATGGAATAGTATAATCAAGTAATTCCTTGGGAGTAAGTTTAATTAATTGAGCACATTTGTAGAGTAAATTTATTTGTTCATCATGTCCAGTTGAACCATAATCATCAGTACCTAGAATAATAAGAATAAGGACACTACCTGGAATAAGTTCACTAGAACGTTGTTCTAAAAACAGTGCATAATCAAAATGAGCTTGACGTTTAAATAAATCTCGTTCTTTTGTATCTTGAGCAAAGTCAAAAGTACAATGATCGGATAAATTACATGGTTTAGATGAAAACCAATGGATAGCTGTTGATGAATATCCGATTGAAAGTGAATTCATGGGAAGACATTGTTCATAAAAAGATTGACCATTAGCTAATCCATAATATGATTTATCTTTGTTAAGAAGTTCAACAAGAGATGTCCAATCATTTGTTGGTAGATCATTGTGAATAACAAGAATTTGACGACGTTCATCTTTTTTTTTCAAGTGTTCAATGATCATTTTCATAGCATACATCGAATTAAGACCTTGAGCTGAACCAAAATCGGCAATAATCAGTGGATTAGATGAAGGAGAAATGTCGAGTACATCAATTGCTTCTCGAATAAATGGTATTGAAGCTTCAACAGCAGCCAATTGAGGTGACGAATTCAAATTGTATGATTTAGCCATACCAAGAATCGTGCTCATTGTCGTCATGTTTACACTCTACACACAATATCTATGTTAGAATATACGCATCCTCTTATCTTCCTCTTTCATGCTCACTATTATGAAGCATTATCTATTCTTCTCCTCTTCTCACTCATTGACCAAAATTTCATTGACCTCGCATCTTACATGTTCTTTTTTTTCTATTCTTTCTTACCCCTCTCTTCGTAACCGCTACAATGTGAATATATATGACCGTTCACTTATGTTATGCATATACTCCTAACTCCATGTTGAGTATACATGTAACTTATGATTCGATAATTTTGTGTGAATAAATTTTGATGATAATGCGGTGGAGTGGTGTGAATGTAGGGTGGTTTGGGTGTTAATGTTTCCTTCAGCCCACACCCACACCCACACCCACACCCATACTCTCAAGTATTCACTCTACAAGCGTACATGTTCAGCGAAATTCTATCCTATGATTCATAATGAGAGTATCCTCAGGAAAAAAACTGAAAAATCCCAAGAAATGTTCGAACGCACGGGCCCATTTAGTTCTCCCATTTCATAAATGGAGTGAATCTTCTCTTCACCAACAGTCACATCCCACATCTACAGACCTACTCATAACCACATCCAGCCTGTATATATGTTAATATGGCTCATCAATTTATTCAAACATAGTTAGAACTATTTTTACAGACAAATGTCACATTCATCATGATCGAAAAATAAATGAATGCCGATGAACAAGTGTGAACAAAGTTTGTATTAGAGAGAAAAGTCACGAATATCTTATGCACTATACTGCTTCAACAACAGAGTACTTCGAAAGTTTAACGTTGTCTTGAATTAATTGCTTGATATTGTGAAGTTGTTCTTCGACGCTCTCTTCATTGTTTTGATCAATATTATCTTGAATTTGTTGAATGAAAAAATGTTTTTCTATATACTTTCCAGCTTTATCGAGTTTACCCATGGGACCTACATTTTCATCTTTCTGCAAAACTGTATACGGTTTAGAAATGAACCATGAAATTCCCTTCTTACAGCATGCGCAAGAAAATAAAGTGCTACAGAAAAGAGAAAATTGAACCCGCATCATTTCATAGTCTGAAAGTAGATTGTAGAGCAGTTCCGTCCGCCATAATGATCCTTGTGTCATCAATGATGGAATTTCACCAACAGCCAAACCTATTAGGAGAAAAATTATTTTAAATGTTCTTTTGAATAAGATGTAATTGTTCATCAAAGTTTGTTTGCTGTCTAATTTTTAAATGTCTCTGAAATCTTAAGAAATTTTTCGATTAGTTACGACTATTGATCAAGAAAAAGAATCTCCATTTCTTAGAGTATATCTAAATGAGAAATGAATTGTTAATAAGATATATCTTACCAATTAATAAATTGATAACGAATATAGAAAAAGCGATTGCTGTAAGCATGAATATAACGTAAACTAATTTATAATATCCAATGCCACCATGTTCCGAATTGTATAAACGATCTTCGTATCCCAAATCGAAAAGCATCAAACTAGTGCGTAACAATGCTTTAATAGGTGTTCCATAAACAGTTTGATTCTGTAAAAGCATCCAATATGTAAAACCGAAACCACAAATGACGATAAGTAAGACAGGAAGAAAACGAATGAATTTATTCGTAATCACTTGTAGCATAACGATATACACTCCCAAATTGAAAATCGGAGCTGTTCGAATATATACTAGAAAATTTATATATGCAATAAGAATACCCATCGCAGCTAATTGATATTGAATTGGACAGCGAAACATAATTTCAGATTGCCAAGGATACCAATCGAGAACATAGACATAGGTAAGAACAAGTGCCAATATCTCGATATAAGAGGAACCCGTACGAAATACTTTTGGAAACAAAACCGATATAACGATGATGTTCTTTACGATGAAACTTGACATCATTACATATAATGTCACTTTAATTCTTTTGTAGTGATCCGTTTTAAATACTTCATCAGTTCGATCGAAATTATTCAGGAAATAATTACTCACACTTTCACATGTGGCTCAATCGACCGTCATAGTCATATTGGCTCTATCATAGAAATATTGTGGACGCTTTCCATGAAGTATTACTGTGGTCAACAAAGCAAGATAAGTGATGTAGATAAAAAATGAGATGACGAATAAAGTGAGGCCTAATGATCGAAGTTTGGCTTGACGCAAAAATGTATTATAAGAATGTTCAATCGGTTTTGGGCATGTCTTCTGTGAGCTCGCAATAGATAGTGGATGATTACGAACGATTGTATAAGAATCATTTGTGTAGTATTTTCCAAGTATACTAGTTTTTTCTGGTCTACAATTAAACCACGACTCACGAAAAATGTATCCCAAACAAAACCAACAAGTAAAGATGGTGCCAACACCACGCTTACGCCACAAATGCTTCCACGTCAGTGGTTCGTCCGACAGTGTGACACCTGAATGACAATATTTCAAATCAAACAATATTGTTTCATCTAATGATTAAAGTTCTTGCTCAACTAGTTTCCGTCACTGTATAGTTTTATTAAATTTGTATTTCATTATCGTGATATAGAGACTTCATACGAACATCGATTATTTGACATAGGATATTTTACAATATATTCATTCCGGAAAAGTAAGAAATGTATAAAATAATTCCATACTCAGGAAGTTTCAGTGAGAGTCTTCATAAATAGAATTGTCTA